ATACTGGAGCCCCTGCCGTGTTACTTCCTGCATCGGCTAACTCGCTTATCCTTGTTCCAGCTACTGAGTCTATCTTACTGATACCTGCTCCTACTGTCAATATCTTGAAGCGAGTTCGGCCTGGTTAGTATTAGCCCAACCTAATCTTATTTCACCTTCTACCTTAACCTTCTCTCACTAAGTTCTTACTTTGCTACCATCACAAGTGGGCAACTTCGTTCCTTCTAAAGCTGATACTAAGGGGGCAACTTTACCTAAAAAGGGTGTTAGTGTTCCCTTGCTATGCAAAGTCCCAGGTCGCAACTAGCAAGCATAACGTTTATCAATCTATTCCTATGATTATGCAGCTAAGTAAGGGCCGTTCAGGGTCTACATTTGGACCAATATGCTTAACGGTAAAGGATATTCTGTAGTTCTACTAACTTATACTCTCGCCTTTCGTGTTACTTCCGGTTAGAAGAGGGGGGTTTAAGTGGGTTCTCTCTTATTTACATGCTGAAGCACGGTTTAACCTCCTTCTCTTTGATTACCATCTTTTGCTTGGTATGCTTGGTATGCTTGGTATGGTACCATACCAACCATGCTTGCTAGCATAGCAACCATAGCAAGCATGATAAAGAACGGTCTTAACCTTAGAGCAGTATCTAATAGATAGCCTACACCCAGAGTATACTATACTTGCTAGCATGAAAAGTCGTAGTTTTCAGAGTAATGGATTAGTATCTACCTTAAACCTCTTCTTATTCTTAGGAGGGTGATGGTGAACAGGAAGGGAATCTTTAACCTTCCTCCTCTTAACCAAGGATGTGTACTTCCTTGGTTATGGAGACTTAAGAAGTGCTTAATCGACGAATCCATTGAGAGAACTTAGGTTCCATCTGATGAGTTCCTCTTTAGAAACCATATTAGGGGGGCCCTTAGGGGCGGCGGCCCTAATTAAGGTGTTAAGGGGAAGGTAGTGCATGTGAACGGCTCGGGTCAAGGGATTCAGGTAGTAACAGGGAAGAAGATAAGGTAAAGAAAGCGAAGGCCACCTTAAAGCCAGAGTTGTTCATTGTTCATTATGGCAGATAGGTACTCCCAGCAATTAGAGATAAAGGTATCTTTACTAAGGTAAGGAACAGCGTAATGACACTTCAGGATGACCAAAGAACCAAAAGCAATTGATTAATCATGTGATTACACGCATGCTTAGACCATCTCATCGAGCCGTTGCTCGTACCCATATGACCATTGAGGTTACCGTTTGACCCGGAACGGAGTTATTACCGCCCGAAGGACGATTTGGTTACCTGCTGATTACCCTGTTTAGTTTCTCACTCAAAGAGTCCTAAAGGGATTTGATTTAGGGAGTTCCAGCATATAGAGTATGCTACCCATTACTACCTCTAGTAACGGCGCCCCTTTGCTTGCAAGCAAAGCAGGAGGAGTCATCAATCCTCTCTATTCGGGGGGAGAATGCTATTGAAGCAATTAAACCCAGTTTAGACAGACTAACTCAAGAGATGTTGAGAACATACCCCCTTTAATGCTATCCTTTAAGCTTCCTTGCTAGCATGGCGAGCATCGTCTC